TGCAAGATTGTCATGGCAACACAATGGCAGCCTTTAACAGCCAAAAGCTCTCAAGTTCTCTAGAAGAACGCTATTTCATCAAGCACATTTCGCTTTCATTTGCGTTTTCACAGGTCTACCTGACCTCTCACTGAGCTGGCATCCAGCATATTAAAAGCAACGGCTTCACTGTCATCCATACTAATGTTTCATTGTAGAGGTCAGGTGTTGACTTTTCATGGCTCTGTTCCATACAATTCACAGTTTCACTAAAACCTCTTTCATTTTAAAGATGAAGTGTGTATTTTAAATTTTTTTTGGGAGGATTCCCCCAAAAAGCGAGTTTTTACAAACACTGATCTGTATGTGTGAGCATCTAGCGTAGCTACATTGGTTCGACCAATAAAGCGAGTTTGGGGTGGGATTATCTGTTCGAGGACCAATGGACACCGGATGAGTGTTTTTGTCCTAGAAATGACACACTTCATCTATAAATAAAATGACACGCATTTATCCATATCTAATTGCATTAAAGTAATCGAGGCGACATTGATTCAATTCAGTATAAAAAAACGAATATATAGATTGTAGGTCGCCTTGGTTAATGATTTTCGAATGTTGTTACCAATTATCAATAGGTATTATCCAGTCCGTTGTCATCCCAAGGCATCATATACTAGACGCTTTTGCCAATGCGTATACATCCGACGCACATGGCACCCTTTTGGCGTCAATATGTGGGCCAGAAGGCGCCTCCTAGAGGTCAAACCCTAACCCTACCCCAGACCTAAACCTACCCATAACCGAAGCGTGTTATTTTGACGCTAAAGGGTGCCATGTGCGCTGGATTGGCAAAAGCGTCAGTATATGATGCCTTGGATTGAATTATCGGCTCATTATCGTTGCTATTAATTAGTAAACAATGTTTATTCGTGTAATGGTGATTGAATGCACTTATCGAATTATCGGTGACGATTGAACACTGCAAGACAGGCACTCCGGATGACACCAAAATGAACATTTCAATGAAATGCGTAACATCACGGTAAGTTTCTCTATTCTGAACTGAACTGTGCAGGTTACATTCGAAAACATTTCTTTTACCACGGCGTGTGCTGCACCATGCCAACTGCTATTTTAAGCTACGCTGCGTATCTAAAATCTAATATTTACTTGACACAATGCCATTTAAATTGTCAACGAAGAACGAAATGGCCACTAAAACTCCAAAAAATCAATGGCGCGAGTAACTCTCAAGTGCATAGATTGGCAGTCCGATGGATATCTAGGATTAAATTGGACTAAAATGTTTGCCGACAATTTGTTTCTCCCAATTCCAAATGTTTTCTGTTAAATAAAGGTGTGCCTATTCATTTGAATTTTTCCAAAATCAATAAAAAAAAAAACAATAGTTAAGCTTGAAGGAATTGACATCATTCTCTACTTAACTGAAGGTTTGAACAAAATTATAAACTGTTCCAATCTCAATAATATGTATCTAAATGGCGGTTGTAAAGAGGCATTTAATCAGATACAATTAGACTTCAAATTTGGAGTGTTTGTGTCCATACCCAGACAGCAACATAGTTTCGGCCCAGATCCGGCCCACATCTGGTAGATCCACACGGCCCAGACGTGCATGTTGCTGTCTGGGATATTTCCCCTTTCAGATTCTTTCTAATGTCACAACCGACTAGTTTCCCTCGAAGAGTAATCAAACCAATAGCTTAAAACTTTATGTAGACATGATGGTGTTTTGTGTGCATGTGAGTGTTTGGAGTGTGTATTATTTGTGGAGTACAAATGTGTGCCCTATTGATTTGAACGTGTGCTAAAGTTGTGTTCAAAAAGAGACCCGTGGTTCAGTTGAGCAAAGCGTTCCATTTTAAAATACACCGGAGGAAAACAAAATGCGACTAGCGTTACTTATAAACTGCTTCCTTGAAAAGCGATCGTTGCGTTTTTGGAAACGTGTAAAAGTCAAGTACAGGTCCTGATTTCTACAAGCAAATGTAGAATCAGCAGCTCTGGAGAGGTCTCACCTGAGGTAATGCTGTTATGTGGATATGCAGTGGAGGTCAAAACCTATCTGAGCATCTTTTAAGAAAAGAAATCATAATGAGCCACTTGAGACAAAACAAATGGCACTTCATATGGTACAGAAACTGAGGTTGTAGCTGTCGGCGGTGTAGCAACCAGAACAAAGAGACAAATAAAAAAGATTAACAGTAAAATAAATATAATATATTCATTTGCAATATGTATAGATTTTTTTTTCTTCTTCCATATAAAGGTATCTCTTGAAATTTTTGGAATGCAGTTTAAAAACAAGTTTACAAAGAGCACAAAAAACAACAGAAAGGTTAACATTTCCACCTGTCCCATTTTCTACCCTTCGAACCTCCTTTTGAGGGTTAAACCTGATGGTTGAATCGCCATTCAGAGTACAGGAAATGGGGGTTGTGTCTTACAGTAACGATTAACTTAAAGGATGGGACCCGTTATTGGCAAGATGCGAAATTTTTGATTGTATTCCAAAAAAAAAAAAAAAATCGCTTTTCTGTACCTAAATGAAAAGGGTGTAAATATTGGTCAGTCAGACACATGAAATGCCTCGCCATCCCTCTCATAGAAGACAAAAAAGAGGGGTGAATTAGGAAAATAAAATTAATTTCCCAGAGTTTCAACTGCTCCTTTTCCACGTGCCCCTGAATGGTATTTAAGGATGTGGCACAGAAAGGTGCGTTTGTTCCCAAGGATGAGGTATATTGTGCAAAGACTGTAGTTAACATAACATGTCTATGCACTTCTTGTACAGGTAGTTATGTCTGCATTGTTATCCGACTGACAAATATTGCGAACCCTTCTGCTGAATCTATCCTGAGATACCAAAGTACTGAAGGCTACAGGTGTACGTTTCCGAGAAACGCAAATAAAACAACAAATATCGAAACGAGCAGCAAGAGAAAAATCAAAACAGTCTGTTCAATGTATGAAATGTGAAAGTGCGTGTTTTCTAAACTACGAGTTTCAGAAATCATTCCCGAAATGGTTCTACATTCATTTGTGTAATTTCTGTAAGAGGAGGATGGTTTTTTTTTTTTTTTTTTGGACAGGGGGAGCCGTTAACCCTGTAATACATTAATCATTGAAGTCAAATGAAATAAATATGTGGAAATGGCATGCACCGTTGTGAAGCAGACGGCCGAGGACGAATCAATTCGAAAGTTTAAAACTTTCTAGATTAACAATTGGGAGGTTTCCTCCGAAAGATTTAAGTGCTGCAAAACAACTTCCAGTCATGGCCATCAGTGCAATTAATTCATAAGTGCCATTTATAAGGGCAAATATTAAATTATAATAGATTCTGTTCGTACTTGTAGTACTAACAATCTAGATGTTGCTACTGATCTACTACTTATAATTTACTAGTTGCACTGCAAAGTAATATTTTTTTTTATCTTGTTTTACAGTAAAAGTGGTAACACTTTACTTGAAGGGGTGTGCATAAGACATGACACCTTCATAATCAGGACCATTTACCATGACATATGCTATGAATATGAAGGAAGTTTTAAATGACAAGTGCCATTAAGTGTCATTTGTCTTTGTTATGACACCTTGACATAAACCAATACATCATAACCTGTCAGTGTCTTTGTCATGACAACTGTAAAAATGAATATGCTTTGTCTAATAAAAAAAAATGTGGCAACAGATTATAAGCAAAATTATGAATTAAATTTAACACATTAGAATTGAGTAATAATTAATCAAATTAATTCCTTAAAAGTTAACCATTTAAAATGAGTAAAACTTACAACAACCCAAAAAACATACATTTAAGTCGCCATTATGGTGATCGGTGTTTGTTTTAGTGATTCTGCTTGTTAACATCAGGTGTCTTCAATGTTGGCAATATAAAATAAAGAGTTCTTAATTAATCTTTGACGTCTGTCTGTTAGTGAGATATTTTTCTTAATTTTTTTGGTGTTAACTTTACTCATTTCAAATGGTTAACTTTTAAGGAATAATTTGATGAATTATTACTCAATTCTAATTTGTTAAATTTAATTAATAATATTGCTTGTAATCTGTTGCCACAATTCTATTGATTAGATAAAGCATATTCATTTTTACAGAGTAAGACAACACAACCTGTCATAAACATGACATAGCAGATTAATTATCAAACTTAAAAACCGCCTATAGCTTTATTGGTTAACATTACATTAAACTGTCACTTAATTTGATGTCAAGTTGTCATAACAAAGACATGTCATATTTGCATTCAAAATGTCATTATTGAGCAAAAGACACTTAATGACAGTCGTCATGAACATGCATGAACCCTACTTCATATGTCACGTCATGGTTAGTCTTATGCACACGCCTTCAAGTAAAGTGTTCCTGATAAGGAAAATTGAATTCAAGGGTTTCAAATTTTCTGTAAAATCAAGAAGACATATCTTGATTATTACTGTAAAACAAGACAATCCTGGTTAAGAAAACGTTTAAATAGCAAGAGTATTATTTTACATCACGTTGATTAATAAATAACCTGATTGATTGATTGATAAAGGACCAAACTAAATTCTAATTAGACACTTTAAACGCTCAGCATTGGTAAAGTGTTGGTGCATTTGATGCCAAATGAGCTAAAGGGATTTACATGTACAGCTAGCTTCCCTTCGACTTGCTACTTAATCAATTGTAGAAGTACGGATCATAATTTCAAAAACTGCACTAAATATATATAGATTTTACATCAATTGTTTACTGATACAAATAATCAAGATTCCTACTAATTTCAGTAGTGTCTCCACACATGGCTATAATGGCAAATTCATTAAACAAAGCTAACAAAACTAAAAATATTTTTTGATTAATAAGATAATTTACACAACTATAGTGCTGTGGGAAATTCTCCAATACATACAAGCCTAATTGACTTGAATTCACTGGGCAAAATAGTAACGGTGAGGGCAGGACGGTGTTCCCATTTGAAGAAAACCTGACCACCGAAAGTGTCGGATTATAACTCCTCAGCCTCCACTGAACGGGTGCATGCCATTTACTTAAATGATTGAAATTAAATAATGAAATAAATAAAAGGTACATTTCATAGAGTCAGTTTCATCATCAGAAACCCTGAAGTCTGAAGTCTAATTTTTGTCACAGACTGGGTGAGCACCAGGCAGTGATATACCAGAATGCCCTTCAAACAACATCAAAGTGGAGCATGCTTTTCCAAAAGCCTTCTTTGAAATCTTCACAGATCTACAGATTTCAGTTTTATATACATCAGGTGACACGGTTTCGATTTGAAGAGGGGCAATGTGACACTAACCAGTCAGGCAACACTAGACAAATCGGAGAGTTCAAGCTGTCGACCACTGTATATTAAAGAGGTAATTTTCTCAAAACAAAATGAGCATGTTTGGGTCTACGCTGCAGGACGGCGGGGGTCGTTGAAATGATCCCCCTTTGATCTTGCGAGTCTCCTTTATGCTATCTGCTACTTTAAAAACACGCACCCAAACATATTCGCTTTTATTTTCAAACAAAGTGCTATTTTCAGAGAGATCTCGGAAAATTCCCACCTGGCCAGGTGTTTCGACCGATAACATCCCGCCAATATCGCCAATCCATGGCTCAGGTCGACCCAACGAACGCCCGGTATAAAGCCCTGCCCCTGACCCAACTCATTTACTGAGAGTGTGTCACAGGTT